GGAGGACGCCGGTTCGATTCCGGGTCCGTCTGCCTTGGTCCAAGTTTTTCTGTGGTTTCCTTGGATCACTTAGGCAAATGCTGAAGCAGTAATATTCCACAGATAATCTTTCATTCTCTTCTGTCTTCATTTCGTGCGTCTCATCTTTCTCACCCGAACCACCACCCACCCATTCCCACTATTCCTGAAAGCAGGCTGAAGAGGGCCTTCCGCCCTACCTTCCGGCATAGTCCTGAGGGACTGCCCGCCCACCAGCATGACTGGCTGGTGGGAATGAAACACCAAAAAGTTTTTTTTTTTTTCAGTACCAAAAACTCCAATATTCCACCGACCCACGGCAAGGGAGAAGGAGTTCCACCGCCAGTCACCCCAGTTTTTTTTACTTCGCTCAGCCGTTAACCACCGATTGCCAGTTAGAGTAAGTGTTGTTATCAGTGTTGTTTTTGGTCCTGCTCAGACTCCTTTTGTGTATATATATTATCTCCGTTTGTTTTGTTCAACTGTATATATTTTGTTACTTGTCGTCTCTGCATATTTGTATTCTAGTTGTAGGTTATTATATAGTTAGGTTTAAGGTGTAAATAAATTGTTGGAAGAAAGCAAAGACATATCAGGTTATACTTCTTTTCACTTGATAATTTCAACTGCTTTCGAGAAGACGCAGTTAAACATATAGCATTTCAGTGTAGTATTACAGGCGACCGACTACTCGGACCATGTGTTCTTCCTCCGAACTTAATAAGAAGATCATATTTCTTTTTCTTACTAAATAGTTTTGATAACGTTTTGGATGATCTCTCACTAGATCCAAGAAGAACAATGTGGTTTATGCAAGATGAATTATTTAATAGTGGTTAGAAGTCACCTTTTTTAATCATTCTCTCAACGATAGATTGACAGAGGAAGTGACATTCTATGACCACCAAGAATAACTGTAAGAATTTAACATAAAAATCGGTTGTCTGTAAAGTTGGTTTACTGATGATAGTTGAACGTGACAACGTCATAAGAAAATACTGATGGAATGGTTTCATTTTTCAAAAGAAAATTTTAATTTTATTTGTTTGATAGATATTTTGTATGGATATAGAGAAGCAGGTAAATGGAAATGTATTATTGTATAGCAGCTGTCGACGCGGACGCATCGCTCACTCAAGTAGGAGAGAGACAGATGTCTAACGCTGCCGAACGCGGAGGCCGATTGTGTCTCTTTGTCGCTCGTTCCGCGTTCTTGCTTGCACTTCAAGCCTTAAATGGAACGCCTCAGAGCGA